AGGAAAAAACATTGCCAACGAAATAAAAATGTTCACATATATTAAGAAAACTCTAATGAATATTTGTGCAAAACTTGATTTAAATCCAGTTACTTGTTTAAAAGTTATTTACTAAAAATTGTAGAAAAATATTATCTGTCTCTCTTTTTCTGCGAATTACTCGCTTTTTTTTGTTTCTTGTACTTGATTTCAAGGGGTATTCACGATCAAAAGTTTTTGTCATAAATTAGGAAAAATATTAATTACAACTATTTTTCTTATACGAAGACGTGAAAAACCATATTATTTTGTGATACTTTAATTCTTTTTATAATCCGGATTTATTTATTTCATTTTTCAAACAGTATAAACGTAAAAATATATATTCTTTTTTAATTTTGATAGGTTTTTTGCTACTATTTTACTACCAAACCATCCTTAAACTATGATTTCTCTTTTGTTTATTTCTTTTGTTTTATTCTATCGAATTTCAATCCAAGAGAAGGAATCTATTTTTTCCTATGGAAGGAGAAAAGAGACGAAACGGGCAGACGTATTTACGCGAGGGAAAAGAACGTTTGAAAAGAAGAAAGAAAAGCCGTGACGGCGAGCAGAATTGAAAATTCGACAGCGAATGACGCAAGCGGGTTTTTCGTTGCAGTCAGCCGCGTAAGATGCATGGATGTTCCGGGCCGGAAATTCCAGCATCCCGGTGACAGGATGACTAGCGTTAATAAGAAATGCCCTCTCGAGTGCATGAATTCTCACCAGGTCTTTTTCCATTCTGTTCTCGTTGCGTCAGTTTGAGTTAATGTCGCGTTGCATGTATTTCGAGAGATGACATTCGCAGGCGGACACAGCAAGCCTCTGTTTCGTTGTTAATTCGCTCTTTGTCACGAGCGGATATAAAGTACGTCCCAGTTTTGAAAGTTTGATCAACGAATTGGATAAAAATTTTTTCCCTAGTAAGCGTTATATTATCAACCTTTAACCTTCTCCTATCATCTGTACGAAAAAATACACATTCCGTGATGAACGCGATGAGGAAAAAAACCGATATAAAATACGGTTGTGTGAATAAAAAGGTATTAACATAATGGAGTACTAGCTATTGTTTTCACATGCATTGTGAATCATAACATTCTACCATTATCACATATTTTACAATTATCAGGAAAAGCAAGCTGGAGAATAAAATATCTCGGCGTATCCTTCGCTATTAAATACAGCAATTTGACCTGGATTGTCTGTGACGGATCGATTGATTGCGTTGACAGATGATCCCTCTTTACATGACTTCTTACTTAAGCAAGATGATGCGACGTAATTTGATCGAGCATCGTACTCGAGTATTTGTACGTGTCGTATTAGCTTCTAATGTCAACTTGATGAATCGAGTTGAAGTTAAGTTCATAATCTTTTCGCGGATTGTGCCAGTAATATTAGCTTGTTAAGATTTCTCGAGTTATATGAAAGCGCGAGATCAAAATTTTAAGTAATTTAATCATAAAATGCATACAAAATACGATAATATTTTATCATTTTAATGATTAGATTTCTTACACAGATATGTGAATTTAAAATTAATTTAAAGCTCTGTTGTATTAAATTATTCTAGCGATTTCCCCTGAGGCTACTCATACAGGATGCCTGCAATACTCTCGGGCCAGTCAGTTTTTACTAGCTGCCAATCGACCCTTTGAATCATCTACTAGTGCGTTCCTGCCTGTTACCTATTATACTCTCAATTTTCCGGTAGTCACTAAAGCGTGAAATCCTTTGAGCTGTTTGCATACCTTTCACTGATACATACATCCATGTACGAATTGTCCGCATTCCTAGTGGCTATCTTTCATATCACATATGATGCTAGAAACCGAGAAAATGTGCAAGATTGAACATTTTATGAGCAATTTTTTTTCTATTATAATTAACATTTGTAATTTTTATATCATTAACAATAAATTAATAAATACAATAATAAAATATAGTAAAATGATATATATAAAGGGGATGTAATACAAAAAATAATAATAAATTAAAGAATTATTCCTCATATACAGGGTGGCCTCGAACGTTCCAGCCAGACTTTGAGATCTTATAAGAAATTTAATTCTGAACAAAAAATTTCCTATAAACATGGGTCGAAAAATGCTTTCTTAAGAAGTTATCGCTCAAATGGATCTCAAATTTCAAAGATATTAGATATTTCTAACTCTCGCATACATCAGCTTTGAAATGAAACTACGATCGATTTTATCCGTCGCTTTCATTAAATAGATTGGAACGGGTGGATCGAATTTCGTCCAGGTCGTCGCTGTCCTAATGAGGCATACGCTTCTCTCTAAGACGAGAGGTAACTCTTT